GTGATCCATTCTGAACATGACCAACATTCATTCAAAGAACAGTGATCCATTCAAAATTTGAATAACATTCATTTAAAGAACAGTGATCCATTCTAAACATGACTAACATTCATTCAAAGAGCATTGATTATTTCTAAACATGACTAACATTCATTCAAAGAGCATTGATTATTTCTAAACATGACTAACATTCATTCAAAGAGCTTTGATTATTTATAAACATGACTAACATTCATTCAAAGAACAGTGATCCATTCTAAACATGACTAAAATTCATTCAAAAAACAGTAATCCATCTGAAATATGGAGTTACCTAAATGCCTACAGATTAACATGAAATAAAGCCCTGAAATGTTGTACACACATCACACATGTATAGAACATGAGTTTACAATATTATGGAGTGCAGAAAAATGCGAACACGTCACTACAAAAGAATACGATAAGTACAGTCATGGACAGACTGTGTGTGGACAAATGGTGACTGGGGTACAGCAAGTGAATTATGCCAAATCCAGTCTGAGGTATTGTTACAACAGAAGAAATAACAGTTTTATATCACAATTTTTCATAACACAATATGCGCTGCGTGAGTACGCGCGGAAGCTGGCACTTCATGGGATATCACAAACACTTTGGCACTTTTTGTGAAGACAAACTGGCATATGCTGAATTATCTGGTCATACACGAGCATACAGGGGCTGGCCAAGACAAGACTGAGTATTTCTTCTAAGTTAGAGTACAACAGTCTGCACCCATATAAGCTAGATTTGTAAAACGGATGAGTACACAGTTCTAAAGTTCACGGAGAAAGACCAAATGTCAGATGTAGATAAAACAACCAAGACTTGTCGAAGTTTACAGCTGGTAAACAAGCCCACGAAAAACAAGAATGTACTAGGGGAAGTCAATAATTAGGTCACAAATGGTTGTTAAAAAAACTCAAGACATAACCTGAAAACCGTTTTTTGTTTCCACGCACGCATTGTACTTTTATTTTTCAACATAGTTTCCACTAACACTGATGTACTTGTCCTGTCGTTTTATCAGTCCTTCCAAACCTGCTGCATAGAACAGTGTGCTCTGTTTTCTAAACAACATTTTCACTTCACATTCAACTTCTGCGTCATTCGCGAAATGTCTTCCGTCAAGGTAGGTTTTCAATTAACGAAAATGATCGAAATTGCAAGTGGCTGTCAGGGTTGTAAGGTGGATATTCTAGAATTTCCCACCCTAGATGGTTCATTTTCTCCTGAGTCAACTGAGCCGTGTGTGGTCTGGCATTGTCAAGAGGGAGCAGTAATCCTCTAGTCAGCAGGCCTGGAGGTTTTTCTTCGAACTGCATCATGAGGCATCAAAAGAACTTGACATTATGAATCAGCATTTAAACTGTGACTTTAAAAAACAAAATTGGTTAAAATAACTCATTGACAATCCCAGTACACTGTCAGCTTAACTTCCTTGCCTATGGCGTAACCTTGAATTGCTTAACACAAGGCGAAGAAATATATTTCCATCGCGTTGAAGCATGCATTGATTCGGGTTGGTAGTGATGCACCCATGATTCGTCCCCAGTAATAATTCTGTTCAACATGACTTCTCCTTCATCTGCCTATCACAGAGGTGCTTCAAAAACAGACCTAATCCGTTCATTTTGTTTTCGTCCATCAATTGTCCGGGTACCCACCTTGAGAACACTTTCTTAAATTGCAATCGATCATGCATCATGTTGTTTGCTGAACCATGTGAGCACCCTATTGCAGCTGCTACATAGTCAACCGTTACTCGCCTGTCATGTCTAATCATCTATTCCACCCGCGCAGGAATGCGTCTGTTGTAATCTCAACAGCGACCAGATTAGACTTCATCAACAATTTTAGAGCGTCCTTGAGAAAAAATATTATCACAGCTATGTACCGCTTTAAGGGATAAACATTTGTAAGCATAAACAGGTAGCATTTCCTCATGAATGTCCTTTGCAGGCAGCCCCTTTGTCAACCCCCCCCCCCCACCCCCACTCAACCCACTTTCCCAAAAAGGGTACAACAGCACGTTGTTATCTGAGGGTACACTCTGTAAGTAAAGTCGCCTTTTTGGTTTCTGTGTTGCGAATGCGCATGCAACACCTAGCACTACCTACCGAACGGAGACATAAAGTTGGATGTTGTTGTCACCTAATGACACCTTTAGAAACCACCAGCTACATGTTCCTGCCATCCCATAACCATTGGTGACTGACTGATTGGTTCCCTCTCATATTATATAAAGACATTAGGGTGTTACAAGATTTGGTGCTTTCTTAATATCCTACCCCAAACAGGGAAACTCCAAAGGTCACGGGACAGTCATACTTCAGGGGGTGGAAGATAGGCTACATGCTGTCGTGGGACTTAGGCTGCACTCTGGGACGTAAGTGAATTGGGGTTAGGGCCAGTTCTAGATGTTTTGGGGTCGCTAAAAACATCACAAAGCCGGGAAATGCAGTCTTACCATTCTCTAAATTTCTTGTGGGACAGGAAATTACAAAAGAACCCAACATTCAATACATCATGTTAAGAAAACAACAACCCGCATACCTATGTAGCTGAATTTTCAACAAAAAGATGACACTTGACAGTTGACATTACACACTAGACAGTTGACATTACACACTAGACAGTTGACATTACACAGTGGACACTAGACAGTGGAAATTACACACTAGACAGTGGACATTACACACTAGACAGTGGGCATTACACACTAGACAGTGGAAATTACACACTAGACAGTGGACATTACACACTAGACAGTGGACATTACACACTAGACAGTGGAATTTACACACTAGACAATGGAATTTACACACTAGACTGTAGACATTACACACTAGACAGTGGACATTACACACTAGACAGTGGAAATTACACACTAGACAGTGGACATTACACACTAGACAGTGGAAATTACACACTAGACAGTGGACATTACACACTAGACAGTGGATATTACACACTAGGCAGTGGAATTTACACACTAGACAGTGGAATTTACACACTAGACTGTAGACATTACACACTAGACAGTGGACATTACACACTAGACAGTGGAAATTACACACTAGACAGTAGACATTACACACTAGACTGTGGACATTACACACTAGACAGTGGACATTACACACTAGACAGTGGAAATTACACACTAGACAGTGGACATTACACACTAGACTGTGGAAATTACACACTAGACAGTGGACATTACACACTAGACAGTGGACATTACACATGAGACAGTAGACACTAGACAGTAGACATTATACACTAGACAGTGGACATTACACACTAGACAGTGGACATTACACACTAGACAGTGGACATTACACACTAGACAGTGGACATTACACACTAGACAGTGGAAATTACACACTAGACAGTGGAAATTACACACTAGACAGTGGAAATTACACACTAGACAGTGGACATTACACACTAGACAGTGGAAATTACACACTAGACAGTGGAAATTACACACTAGACAGTGGACATTACACACTAGACAGTGGACATTACACACTAGACAGTGGACATTACACACTAGACAGTGGACATTACACACTAGACAGTGGACATTACACACTAGACAGTGGACATTACAAAAGAGACTGTTAAGATTACACACTAGACAGTTGGCATTACACATCCACACTAATACAGTCTCGGCGGCATCCACACAAGTAAGGTCATGGCTGCATCCACACAAGTACAGTGACGGCTGTATCCACACAAGTACAATGACGGCTGTATCCACACAAATACACGGACGGCTGCATCCACACAAATACAGTGACGACTGTATCCACACTAGTACAGTGACGGCTGTATCCACACAAATACAATGACCGCTGTATCCACACATGTACAGTGACAGCTGTATCCACACAAATACAGGGACGGTTGTATCCACACAAGTACAGTGATGGCTGTATCCACACAAATGCAGGGACGGCTGTATCCACACATTTACAGTGACGGCTGTATCCACACAAATACAGAGACGGTTGCATTCACACAAGTACAGTGACGGCTGTATCCACACAAGTAGAGGAACGGTTGTATCCACACAGATACAGGGACGGCTGCATCCACACAAATACAGGGACGGCTGCATCCACACAAGTACAGGGACGGCTGCATCCACACAAGTACAGTGACGACTGTATCCACACAAGTACAGTGACGGCTGTATCCACACAAATACAGGGACGGCTGTATCCACACAAATACAGGGACGGCTGTATCCACAAAAGTACAGTGACGGCTGTATCCACACAAGCAATCAGGCTCTCAGTAATCCAAGTTAGTCACGACCGCTCCCACACAAGTACAGTCACGACCGCTCCCACACAAGTACAGTCACGACCGCTCCCACACAAGTACAGTCACGACCGCTCCCACACAAGTACAGTCAGCAAATGAGACCAGCAGGAATATCACAGCTACAGCGAGCAAAAGCTTGGCCACAAATGGCACCGGTGGACACTGAAAAACAGTATAACGTCTTCTACATCCACTCATCCTCTACACAACCACACATCATCCTCATATATACACACCCCCTCCACAACCACACACGGCTTACAGCCACTATGTCCGGTCTGACCGACAATCAAGCGAGTGAAAAGCTTGCTAGACAGGTAAATACTGAAGTACTAGCAATGCAGCTAGAACAATCTGTTTCACAAAACATAAAGCTAAAATAAACCACTCGATTACACAATATGAATAGAAGCACTGGATCCCGCAGATCCTACATATCAAAGACGCTTGCCCTACAAGATGTCCACGTACCAACATATTATAGTTCAGCGTGGATCTGTGCAAAAATTACCTTCTTGCACAGAAGGTTACTAGCTAGAGGACGAGCCTTGACGCTGTCGTGCGAGAATCTTGATGAACTAATGAATGCCCTGTGTTGGTGAAGTCCTGTTATTGTCACGTGTCAGCGACTACTGACCAGGTCAAGAATCGCCAGTCACCGACACTACATTCTTCTGGACTCCCTGGACATACCTGGTCTTGGTGTCCACCATCTCACACAGTAGGGGGCTCTCCTTGAGCACGTCCTGAAACAGTGCACTCTTGTGAGCCCGCATGGCGACGTCAGTCAGTGACCTGTGGACAGACGGCAAGCAACAACTGTCAGTCAGTGACCTGTGGACAGACGGCAAGCAACAACAGCCAGTCAGTGACCTGTGGACAGACGGCAAACAACAACAGTCAGTCAGTGACCTGTGGACACACGCAAACAAAAACTGTCAGTCAGGGACCTGTTGACAGACGGCAAACAACAACTGTCAGTCAGGGACCTGTTGACAAACGGCAAACAACAACTGTCAGTCAGGGACCTGTGGACAGACGGCAAGCAACAACAGTCAGTCAGTGACCTGTGGACAGACGGCAAACAACAGCAGTCAGTCAGTGACCTGTGGACAGACGGCAAACAAAAACTGTCAGTCAGTGACCTGTGGACAGACGGCAAACAACAGCAGTCAGTCAGTGACCTGTGGACAGACGGCAAACAACAACAGTCAGTCAGTGACCTGTGGGCAGACGGCAAACAACAACAGTCAGTCAGTGACCTGTGGACACACAGCAAACAACAGAATACAGTCTGGACTCCAGAATACTGAGTCTCCTCACAATCAACCCCACATCGTCTCCCTCTCTCCCCACACAGTTCAATCTTGTACCACACACAGTTCAATCTTGTACCACACACATACAAAGTTCAGGTTCTATGTTGATCTGTTGCACACACACACACACACACACACACACACAGACACGCACCCACTCAAGCTAGACAAAGCAGCCACTACCTGGGAAACTATCAGACGGGAAAAGATCAGATATGGGACGGACAGATAAGTTAGCTGTAAGACGGTCTGGGAAACCAGACACCAGACACATAAGTTAGCTGTAAGACGGTCTGGGAGACCAGACACTAGACACATAAGTTAGTTGTAAGACGGTCTGGGAGAACAGACACTAGACACATAAGATAGCTGTAGGACGGTATGGGAGACCAGACACTGGACAGATAAGTTAGCTGTAAGACGGTCAGGGGGACCAGATACTAGACATATAAGTTAGCTGTAAGACGGTCAGGGAGACCAGACACTAGACAGATAAGTTAGCTGTAAGACAGTCAGTGAGACCAGACACTAGACAGATAAGTTAGCTGTAAGACAGTCAAGGAGACGAGACACTGGACGGATAAGTTAGCTGTAAGACAGTCAGAGAGACTAGACACTAGACAGATAAGTTAGCTGCAAAACAGTCAGGGAGACCAGACACTGGACAGATAAGTTAGCTGTAAGACAGTCAGGAAGACCAGACTCTAGACAAATAAGTTAGCTGCAAGACAGTCAGGGATACCAGACACTAGACAGATAAGTTAGCTGTAAGACGGTCTGGAAGACCAGATACTGGACAGATAAGATAGCTGTAAGACGGTCAGGGAGACCAGACACTTGACAGATAAGTTAGCTGTAAGACGGTCAGGGAGACCAGACACTAGATAGATAAATTAGCTGTAAGACGGTCAGGAAGACCAGACACTGGACAGATAAGTTAGCTGTAAGACGGTCAGGGAGATCAGACACTAGACAGATTAGTTAGCTGTAGGAAGGTCATAGAGAGCAGACACTGGACAGATAAGTTAGCTGTAAGACGGTCAGGGAGATCAGACACTGGAGAGATAAGTTAGATGTAAGACAGTCAGTTAGGCCAGACAATGGACAGATTAGTTAGCTGTAAGAAAGTCTGGAAGACCAGACACTGGAGAGATAAGTTAGCTGTAAGACGGTCAGGGAGACAAGAGACTAGACAGATAAGTTAGCTGTAAGACGGTCAGGGAGACCATGAAATAGACAGATAAGTTAGCAGTAAGACGGTCAGGGAGATCAGACACAAGACAGATAAGTTAGCTGTAAGACAGTCAGGGAGACCAGACACTAGACAGATAAGTTAGCTGTAAGACTTTCAGGGAGACCAGACACTAGACAGATAAGTTAGCTGTAAGACGGTCAGGGAGAACAGACACTAGACACATAAGTTAGCTGTGGGACGGTATGGGAGAACAGACACTGGACAGATAAGTTAGCTGTAAGACGATCAGGGGGACCAGATACTAGACATATAAGTTAGCTGTAAGACGGTCAGGGAGACCAGACACTAGACAGATAAGTTAGCTGTAAGACAGTCAGTGAGACCAGACACTAGACAGATAAGTTAGCTGTAAGACAGTCAAGGAGACGAGACACTGGACGGATAAGTTAGCTGTAAGACAGTCAGGGAGACCAGACACTAGACAGATAAGTTAGCTGTAAGACGGTATGGAAGACCAGACACTGGACAGATAAAATAGATGTAACACGGTCAGGGAGACCAGACACTAGACAGATAAGTTAGCTGTAAGACGGTCAGGGGGACCAGATACTAGACAGATAAGTTAGACTGTAAGACGGTCAGGGGGACCAGATACTAGACAGATAAATTAGCTGTAAGACATTCAGGGAGACCAGACACTAGACAGATACGTTAGCCGTAAGAAGGTCTGGAAGACCAGACACCGGAGAGATAAGTTAGCTGTAAGACGGTCAGGGAGACCAGACACTAGACATATAAGTTAGCTGTAAGACGGTCTGGGAGACCAGACACTAGACAGATAAGTTAGCTGTAAGACAGTCAGTGAGACCGGACACTAGACACATAAGTTAGCTGTAAGACAGTCAGTGAGACCAGACACTAGACAGATAAGTTAGCTGTGAGACAGTCAGTGAGACCTGACACTAGACAGATAAGTTAGCTGTAAGACAGTCAGTGAAACCAGACACTAGACAGATAAGTTAGCTCTAAGACGGTCAGTGAGACCAGACACTAGACACATAAGTTAGCTGTAAGACAGTCAGTGAGACCAGACACTAGACAGATAAGTTAGCTGTGAGACAGTCAGTGAGACCTGACACTAGACACATAAGTTAGCTGTAAGACAGTCAGTGAGACCAGACACTAGACAGATAAGTTAGCTGTGAGACAGTTAGTGAGACCTGACACTAGACAGATAAGTTAGCTGTAAGACAGTCAGTGAAACCAGACACTAGACAGATAAGTTAGCTCTAAGACGGTCAGTGAGACCAGACACTAGACACATAAGTTAGCTGTAAGACAGTCAGTGAGACCAGACACTAGACAGATAAGTTAGCTGTAAGACAGTCAGTGAGACCAGACACTAGACAGATAAGTTAGCTGTAAGACGGTCAGTGAGACCAGACACTAGACAGATAAGTTAGCTGTAAGACGGCCTGAGAAGCCAAACACTGGACAAATAAGTTAGACTGTAAGACGGTATGGAAGACTAGACACTGGACAAATAAGTTATACTGTAAGACGGTCAGGGAGACCAGTCACTAGACAGATAAGTTAGCTGTAAGACTTTCAGGGAGACCAGACACTAGACAGATAAGTTAGCTGTAAGATGGTCAGGGAGACCAGACACTAGACAGATAAGTTAGCTGTAAGACGGTCAGGGAGACCAGTCACTAGACAGATAAGTTAGCTGTAAGACTTTCATGGAGACCAGACACTAGACAGACAAGTTAGCAGTAAGACGGTCAGGGAGACCAGACACTAGACAGATAAGTTAGCTGTAAGACGGTATGGAAGACCAGACACTGGACAGATAAGTTAGCTGTAAGACGGTCTGGGAGACCAGACACTAGACAGATAAGTTAGCTGTAAGACGGTCAGGGAGACCAGACAATAGACAGATAAATTAGCTGTAAGACGGTCAGAGAGATCAGACACTAGACAGACAAGTTAGCAGTAAGACGGTCAGGGAGATCAGACACTAAACAGACAAGTTAGCTTTAAGACGGTCAGGGAGATCAATCACTAGACAGACAAGTTAGCAGTAAGACGGTCAGGGAGACCAGACACTAGACAGACAAGTTAGCAGTAAGACGGTATGGAAGACCAGACACTAGACAGATAAGTTAGCTGTAAGACGGTCTGGGAGACCAGACACTAGACAGATAAGTTAGCTGTAAGACGTTCAGGGAGACCAGACACTAGACAGATAAGTTAGCTGTAAGACAGGTCAGGCAAACCAGATACTGGACATATATGCTAGCTGTAAGACGTTCAGAGAAATTAGACACTAGACAGACATGTTGGCTATACGAGTTAAGTTGATTTAGGAGCCAACATTACAGCACTCGGCGCATTCTAATAAGCGCTTCGTCCCCATCTTCAGCTGCCAACGCAGAATTCCAATTGTGCCAGTAGCAATCTGATCATATTACCTTTCATCTAAACGTCAAGTATCGGCCAGACTCCATCGTCATTTTCCAGTGCATCGCTTCCCACCGCATCACTTCCCAGTGCATCACTTTCTGGTGAATCATATCCCAGTGCATCACTTTCTGGTAAATCACTTGCCAGTGCATCACTTTATGGTGAATAACTTCTCAGTGCATCACTTTATGGTGAATAACTTCCCAGTGCATCACTTTCTTGTGAATCACTTCCTCGTGCATCACTTTCTAGTGAATCAGTTCCTATTGCATCGTTTTCCAGAGCATCACTTTCTGGTGAATCAGTTCCCACTGCATCACTTCCTGGTGCATCACTTTCTGGTGAATAACTTCCCAGTGCATCACTCCCACCAGACTGTGATGATAAATTTGTGTGTTCTAAATTTTACACATGCGCCCATAACGCCTCAACCACGTCTTCCTTATCATGTATCATTTTTCCACCAAGTTGTGCACAGCCAGCCAATCTGTCCGCCTGTTCATTTCCCAACACACTGGCATACCCAGGAAAAAAGATCCAGACAATGCTCTTCTGAAGTGAAGCAAGCCACTCTGCACGAAACATGCTTGTCCCCACCTTCCATAGCATGCTTGTTGAATAAGTTATAATCAGACTATGTGTATATGAGTATCGTGTTCTGTTACCACCGGAAAGCTTTCAGCGACTGCCTCCACCTCCTTCCTTAAGCTAAATGTCCCGGTATCCTATGATATGCTCTCCTGCATCAGTCGTCGATTATTAGCTTTTGTAAGAACCCACAGGCACTTCTTTTGCCTCTTGACACTGAACTATCTGTATAAAAAATCACATCACCCGAGCCAGCATTATCTTCAATTACCTGCTGAATTTCTATCTTTGTGGCACCTGTTGGCCCTCCACTAAGGGATGATTTAACCTGAGCTCTACCAACTTGCTGACCACTAAAAGGAAGATGGCAGACATACAATCTAGCCATAAGACGGACATCTATGTGAGAGATGATCTTACCTGAGCTCCCATCAACTTTCTGACCAGGTAATAGGAAGATGGCAGACATACAAGCTAGCTACAAGACGGACATCTATGTGAGAGATGATCTTACCTGAGCTCCCATCAACTTTCTGACCAGGTAATAGGAAGATGGCAGACATACAAGCTAGCTACAAGACGGACATCTATGTGAGAGATGAACTTACCTGAGCTCCCATCAACTTTCTGACCAGGTAATAGGAAGATGGCAGACATACAAGCTAGCTATAAGACTAACAGACTTGCCTGACAGTGGATATCCAGGTAAGAAAAAATCTTACCTGAGCTCCACCAACTGACCACCAAAGGAAAAATGTCAGAGCGACAAGTTAGCTATAAAATAGACAGACAGGCGTGACAGTGGACGGCCGGAGGACCGACGATCTTACCTGAGCTCTACTAATTTGCTGACCACTAAAGGGAAGATGTAGCTATCACCAGGTTTCAGTTTCTCCAGCGTGTGTAGCAGACAGGACACCATCATCCAGTGCATGTCGTTGACCGCCTGCTTGTCGTTCAGAGTGGTCCGGTCCGGAAAGGTCAAGCACACTGTTTTTATCAAGACCAAAATGTCCGGGGTCACGTCCAGCGACCTCATTCTATCAGCCAGCTCGAAGGAGAAGTTGGTGTACTCCTCACCAAACACCTTCTTGATTTCCTCTTTGTGAAAACAGCGGCCGTTGGGGTAGGCCACCACTTGCAGTTTGGAGTTGTAACCTCTGAAGGCCCCTAGAAACCAGAACTCGAACCACGACCCTCTGACCAGGGAGGCCTGGTCAGAGAGAGCCAGCTCCTTGAAGCCGGGTACATTTTTGGCGTAGCTGATGTAATTCCTCAACCACTTCTCTGTCATCTCTGCGTCATGCATGGTCAGGGAGAGGTCTTCCTTGGCCGACTGCCAACCTTCCAGCAGACGCTTGTTCTCCACCGGGGTCTGCAGAGGCGGATGTCGCATCTCGTGCTCACGCTGGGTCAGGTACAACTCCAGGTAGGAGGTCTGATTTCTTAGCAGTTCTTCCTCTGGGACTCGTGTAGACACCTTCACGTATTTATCGTGGTATTTCACCAGATCTACCAAGAGGGCTTCATACCTCTCCTTCTCGGCGCGATTCACCTCCTTAACCTTGCTCTTCTCCATCTCGATAGCGTACTGGGTTCTGGTTCTGTGTGAGTAGCGTCCAGTCTTGATGGCGTCCCTAGACATACCCATCTCTACACATCTTTGGTAGCGACAGTAGCTGCAGGCGTTCCGCTTCTTGCCGTAGACCGGGCACTCGCGGCTTTTGCTACAGTAGTAAGTGGCGCCACGCTTCAGGCTGCGCCGGAAAAATTCATTGCAGGCCTCGCACGTGTTGACTCCAAAGTGAAGACCAGAGGCCACGTTGCCACAGACTCGACACGGGGGCAAGTTCTGCGCTCCTCTAGGCTTTGAGTTGCCTTTTCCCTTGACCTTATCACCTTTAACACCAGACCCATTCTCAACAGACATATACTGTCCGCTCTGATCATCGTCTGGGATGGACATTTGTGTGTCATCGGCTGCTGCCTGTGAGGATGAGGAGGGAGATGGTATTGATGTGGACACGGATGTGGGTGTGGATGTGCACTGTCTGTGATTGAAATGTGCAGTGTCAAAGTGGTTGCTGTGTGGCGGCTGCAGCTGATGTGGTGAGGGCGAGGTGAAGCGGTTGGAGAATCGGTCAGTGCTGGCATTGCTGTGGTCGGAGTCGTACTTGCTGGCGCTGTCTGAAGTCACGTCCAGACTGTCCATGGAGCGCGTGTCATGAAGACCTGGGTCAGCCTTCAAGACTGGATAGGAACTCACGCGAACTAATCCACCAGCAGCATGTTTCTTGTCGACGTTATAGGCGTAAGAATCCTCCACCTGGTGGTCCGGGTCAAAGGTCAAGTCGGAGGTAAGGCCTTGCCCTAGATAATCCTGGTTATCAAACATGTCAAACATTGTTGGTCTGCCAGTGTGTCTGTCAACCTGGAAGTGACCGTCGAAGAGGTCAGTGTGGTTGCTGAAAGGCCCCGGGAGTGTGATCGTGTCGTCAGGCATGACCAAACGATTGTCTCTCATGTTGGCAGCAGATGATGGTGAACCAAAGTGAGGCACAGTGAACTTGGCTATATCCTCTTCCCCATCGTCGTGGCCCATGTCAGCATATCCGCTGACCGGCGACAGGACAGACGTCTCTGACGATCTGATGAGGTCAGCAATACTTCTGTAGAGGGACGGGAAGCTGTCTATGGGATGCCCCGTGGAGGACTCAGTGCTGGACAGCGATGCCGAGGTCAGCCCAGTGTCTGGAGGTGACGAGTGCGGCCTCTGGGCCGGCTGCCCCGCCAAGATCCCAGACTGGGTGGGATTCTGTGTCACTTGCAGAGTCTCTTGTTTCAGATTTGTTGATTCATATATCACATAATCGTCGGCAGAATGTCTATTACTGTAGGGAAGGCGATGATCGATGTGAGCGAGCTGGTGCACTTGAAAGTTCCCATCCGAAACTGAAGAAGTTTGAGGGCGAAAACGCTGGGTTGACAGACTCTCTTCTGTCTTCATAGATGCCAGCGAGGGACTATCTATCAAACTGTTGTTAGCCTCCCGTAGAATGGACGAGGTCATCAAATCCATCCTGGCCTTCAGTCGAACAGGATCTGGTTTAAATCGCCGGAACCCACATATACCACAGCTGTGAAATCGAAATCTGATCACAAACGATGTGCTGGGCCCACGAATATCACAGCGGAAAGATATCCTCGGCCATTCTGGTGCATCTCGTCAATGGAATCACAACAGGATGGCTGACGTCCCATGGAAGACACAAACCTGAATGGTAGTTCAATCCATAGATCAGGTTTAAGCCGTGCGCAAGATAACACCAGATAACACCAGCTGAACCATGAGATAGAGAAAGAGTCAGTGGGAGTGTTGGAGAGAATGTCCTGCAGCCAGCGTGGGAATATCTCTCTTGAAGCTGCTGAAACAATCCCCGATGCTCACACCCAGCCTGGACCGTATCGACAAGGAGTCGACCGGAACCTGAATGACCAACAAGTACAACATTCATTAGCCGCGAGCACAGAAGAGCATCACCACTATTGTAAAATAATATGATATTTATATGGAACAGTACACTAACACTGTTATAAAATGATATGATATTTTTATGGAACAGAACATTAACACTGTTATAAAATGATATGATATTTATATGGAACAGAACATTACCAATGTTATAAAATGATATGATATTTATATGGAACAGAACATTAACACTGTTATAAAATAATATGATATTTATAAGGAACATAACATTAACACTGTTATAAAATAATATGATATTTATAAGGAACATAACATTAAGACTGTTATAAAATAATATGATATTTATAAGGAACATAACATTAACACAGTTATAAAATGATATGATATTTATAAGGAACATAACATTAACACTGTTATAAAATAATATGATATTTATAAGGAACATAACATTAACACTGTTATAAAATAATATGATATTTATAAGGAACATAACATTAACACTGTTATAAAATGATATGATATTTATAAGGAACATAACATTAAGACTATTATACCAGAAAATAATATGTTATTTACAGGGAACAGAGAAACTAATACGTTATTAGCAAGAATAACTAATAAATATTTAATCTGTGAAAATATACCACTGTGTACACAAGCAGTGTAGATCTTGTCCGGGTTAGAATACCTCTCTACTGTAAGCCTCTAGTGTGGAGCCGGGTTAGAATACCTCTCCCCTGTAAGCCTCTAGTGTGGAGCCGGGTTAGAATACCTCTCCACTGTAAGCCTCCAGTGTAGAGCCGGGTTAGAATACCTCTCCACTGTAAGCCTCTAGTGTGGAGCCGGGTTAGAATACCTCCCCACTGTAAGCCTCCAGTATGGAGCCGGGTTAGAATACCTCTCCACTGTAAGCCTCCAGTGTAGAGCCGGGTTAGAATACCTCTCTACTGTAAGCCTCCAGTGTAGAGCCGGGTTAGAATACCTCCCCACTGTAAGCCTCCAGTGTAGAGCCGGGTTAGAATACCTCTCTACTGTAAGCCTCCAGTATGGAGCCGGGTTAGAATACCTCCCCACTGTAAGCCTCCAGTGTAGAGCCGGGTTAGAATACCTCTCTACTGTAAGCCTCCAGTGTAGAGCCGGGTTAGAATACCTCTCCACTGTAAGCCTCCAGTGTGGAGCCGGGTTAGAATACCTCCCCACTGTAAGCCTCCAGTGTAGAGCCGGGTTAGAATACCTCTCTACTGTAAGCCTCCAGTGTAGAGCCGGGTTAGAATACCTCTCCACTGTAAGCCTCCAGTATGGAGCCGGGTTAGAATACCTCCCCACTGTAAGCCTCCAGTGTAGAGCCGGGTTAGAATACCTCTCTACTGTAAGCCTCCAGTGTAGAGCCGGGTTAGAATACCTCTCCACTGTAAGCCTCCAGTGTGGAGCCGGGTTAGAATACCTCCCCACTGTAAGCCTCCAGTGTAGAGCCGGGTTAGAATACCTCTCTACTGTAAGCCTCCAGTGTGGAGCCGGGTTAGAATACCTCCCCACTGTAAGCCTCCAGTATGGAGCCGGGTAAGAATAACTCTCTACTGTAAGCCTCCAGTATGGAGCCGGGTTAGAATACCTCCCCACTGTAAGCCTCCAGTGTGGAGCCGGGTTAGAATACCTCACCACTGTAAGCCTCTAGTGTGGAGCCGGGTTAGAATACCTCCCCACTGTAAGCCTCCAGTGTAGAGCCGGGTTAGAATACCTCTCTACTGTAAGCCTCCAATGTAGAGCCGGGTAAGATTAACTCTCTACTGTAAGCCTCGAGTATGGAGCCGGGTTAGAATACCTCCCCACTGTAAGCCTCCAGTGTGGAGCCGGGTTAGAATACCTCACCACTGTAAGCCTCTAGTGTGGAGCCGGGTTAGAATACCTCCCCACTGTAAGCCTCCAGTGTGGAGCCGGGTTAGAATACTTCTCCACTGTAAGCCTCCAGTGTGGAGACATGTTGAATACCTCTCCACTGTAAGCCTCTAGTGTGGAGCCGGGTTAGAATACCTCTCCACTGTAAGCCTCCAGTGTGGAGCCGGGTTAGAATACCTCTCCACTGTAAGCCTCCAGTATGGAGCCGGGTAAGAATAACTCTCTACTGTAAGCCTCCAGTATGGAGCCGGGTTAGAATACCTCCCCACTGTAAGCCTCCAGTGTGGAGCCGGGTTCGAATACCTCTCTACTGTAAGCCTCCAGTGTGGAGCCGGGTTCGAATACCTCTCTACTGTAAGCCTCCAGTGTGGAGCCGGGTTAGAATACCTCTCCACTGTAAGCCTCCAGTGTGGAGCTGATATATTCTCTTACAAATCATTCACATGAATAAACAGAGGGGCAACCTTTCAAGCCGTAAAAATATTATATGTTTATAACCAACACAGAGACAATGTATTGAATGGCACTCATAAAAAAAGTAGAAAGTTTGAAGGACACACTAAATGTTCTTGTGTTCTAGACAAAGCTTTACGGTTTGCTGTGTTTGTAAATTGTTGCTGTGTTTGTTACTCAACCTATGCTTGGCTAATATAAATTTGTGTAACATATGGTGCCATTTCAATGGTTTGAGATGAATTCTGTCCGTATCCCTAAGTTTTTTATTTCAAGCTGTACAATGGACGTGCAAATGTGGACACCTTTTGTTTTTGGTGCCTAGTTGGTTTTATTATTAGTACGCTTGATTCCATAGCGAGGCGCAAGCGCTACGTGGAGGTGACAGATTCGATTCCCAGCACGGTAACTGTAGCGTTTGATTTTGATGTTGTCTAGTGTGTCCTTCCATCTTTCTACTTCTGTCTACGAGTGCCGATCAATACATTGTCTCTGTGTTAATTATATATATAATGCCTTACTGTGTGTACTTTGTTTTCGTACAAACTAGCAAAGACACTTTAAACGCATAACCCTTGTATGACATATAAACACACAACTACACGCATCCACACAACTACACACAAACACATATACACACACATATACATGCATAACTAGACAAACGTCTACTAACTTAACCATCCCCATTCTCTCTCTCTCTCTCTCTCTCTCTCTCTCTCTCTCTCTCTCTCTCTCTCTCTGCCTCTTTCACACACACACACACACATATACACACATTCAAACAGACGTGAGTACAAGCGTCCATACTCTCCCGTGTACCATGGGAAGGGGGGGGGATTTCGGATTAAATAACTTCAACATATCAGAAAATGAACAATGCAGTGGATGAAACCACGTCAGTATGCAACACAGACACACACACACACGCAGTTAGGGGGCGAGGGGGATGATATAACCAGAACTATATAATACCAATGGCTGGTGACACTAGAAGTATTACAATTGTGGCTACATTTTCCGCTTGTCTTCCCATTTACACACTGTTACACACTAGCTCGCATCTGATTGGATGACCTATTGACCACCTCACTCTGATAGGTCGGTAACGTGGATATTCCGTACTCGCGCTCATACCGCGTGTTGTATATTTCACCATGCCAGAGCTGTTACCACTTCTGAAACATTTAGATACTGGGTCTAACACACAAGCCTCCTAGAGAGTGACAAAACCCATGTCACAGGCTGTCTCTTTCTCGGAAATAAAGACGAAAATACCAGACAACAACAGACTGCGACGCCCATAACCTCGACCACTGTAGACTAGTCCAACCAACTTATCAATGGAGGTGACCTACAACCAGTGGTGGAGACCATCGTATACATAACCTAATTGTGAATATTTGCCCCAGTAATGCTACCGGTGTGTTTCTGTTGGTCAGTGGTGACGTCAGGGCAAACATTGACTGGTGTCTGTGTTGGTCTATTAGTCTCTCGCTAGGTCTCTTGGTTACAATGGGCGTGTTCATTCAACGGGAGACGAGAGACGGACGAGTGCTCCAACACTAGACCACCACCTCAGTGCGCTCATACCCACAAACTGCTATCTGGGAATGAGGTCAGCAGGCGGACAGAGGCGAACTCTCCGCTTGAGATGACGTTGTTTACTGATAGCAGAAACAGAAACTGGGTCGTGCAGCAGGTCTTCCCCGACCAGCTAGAAATGGCTGCATGTGACAACCAGCATGTCTCCAAGTTCA